TATATATATATATATATATATATATATATATATATATATATATATATATATATATATATATATATATATATATATATATATATACTTTTATAAAAGGCGACGTCGCATTGCCTCGGTGACATCGCGCCTCGTGGGAGAAGGAAAAGGTGACGTCGTCGAGGCGACATGACGTCGCCTTTTATAAAAATATATATATAAATATTTATATATAAATATATATATAATCTTTTATATATAAATATAAATATAAATATATATATATATAGAAACGAGGCGACGTCGTCTAGGCAATGCGATGTCGCCTTTTATAAAAATATTTATATATAAATATATATATAAGTATATATATAATCTTTTATATATAAATATATATTTATTAATTTATATATATATGTATGTATATATATATGTATATATATATATGTATGTATATATATATACACCGAGTGGTATACTGAACGGTATACTGCTCGGTATACAGTATCATACCGTACCGAGCGAATGTCGAAACTCCGGTACGGTACGGTATTTTAATCCTTGATTTACTATTAGAATTAAGCTTGGCATACTTTATTTCTTTATTGGTGTAATAGAGAATTAAGCTTCACCTTACTATTTACTGGTTTGCTTTTGCATTAGTTGCAGGGAGTTGAGTTGCAGCTTAAACATGTCTGTGCTACTGGAGTTCATGGATGGAGCAATGTTTGTGAAACTGTTCTTGGGATATGGTTGGAAGACGTTGCTCACAGTCAGGTTATAGTCTACCCAGGTCGTGTACTTTGCTGGAGAATATTAAAGACGGAAATATAATATAATAAAATATTATATATATTATATCAATTTTTTATGATCATGGTGTTGTTTTTTCTTTCACTAGGTTCCTAATATATTGAAAGGGCTTACACCAGCAAATTCATTATTTTCTGTTTGTTCCGGCTTTTCTAAGTTGGTTATGTTGCCGGTAAAAAGCTATAAGAATGATTGCAAGTTGCTGAAAGGAATGAAGAGAGGTATGCAAGTATTACATGTTCTGATCTCTTTGTGGATATTTGTTCTTTCCTGAAGTTCGTTTTCCACCTGAATATTTATTTTTCTTTAGGATAGATCCATCATAGAACTAGTCCATCTTTATTTAGTATTTTTTACCCAAAGAGTAAATCTTCACTTTAATAAAGAGAACCTGAAGAAATAGTTGATCTTAGAGAAATACGAACCATTAGTTTTGATTTGGATCGTATTGGTAGAGCCCTTTTAATGGATGCATTTAGAATTATGTCTTGAAATCCAAGCATGTATGTAATAGTTAGTCTTAGACACAATTCTTGTTTTTTTACTTCATGCAAGCCAAACAATAATTAGAATGGACTTAAATCATTGCAGGAGCATTTGCTTTTGTAAAGAGCATATCAATTGAAGCTGCTAGACTGGGGGTGCATCTGGCAGCTGGAACCAATGATATCTTGCTGCAAGCTGAAGACATCCTTAAAAGTGCTCCAAAGTCTGAGACAGAGAGAAAAAAAGCAAATGTAAGATATAATCAGCCTGAAAATGTACATGAAGGTATCCAACAGGTATAGATTCTCATTCACCTTGTTAAAATGTTATACTGATGGTGATACTTACTGGACATCAAATACTTCTCTCTTCTATGATTTTAGGATTTGTTGTGTTGAGTTAATCAATACAACAACAGCAACAACAATAATGCTATAAGTCCTAACTATTTGGGGTCGACTATATTGATCTTTTGTCGCTATTGAGATATATAAAAAGCTTCAGGACACCTAGGTGGTGAAAGTGTCTCGCATCACTTCTGGGTAATGATCTAGCTCTACACTAAAATCTGTTAAGATCCATGTTCATGAGATCTGACATAGTTTTACGATGTTGTCAATGGCATAACACAACCCTCCACCTTTTTTATCGAGGATTGGGACCAGCATTAGTGGTGTATTAAGTTATTTAATCTAGGATTTAATTTCACATAGTTAAACTAATGGGCATACTTGTTCCCATGCATCAAATTTATGGGTTGGTTTTATTTCCTTTACTATTTTTTTTCTCAGTTGGTATTAGGTGGTATGGGTCAGTATCTTGCCCATTGGTACTGTATTCATCTAGTAGATTATATTGAGATTTTAAAATCTCTTGCTTCAAGACCAAATGAAATTAATCAGAAACCTTAAATAGTTTAAGTATTTGATCTTAAACATCCTGTACATTTTTAATGATGTGCTACAATATCCTGCTGGCAGTCAATTTAAAACAAACTGCACCAACCTAAAGAAAAAGGATACATTCCAATCTGCACCTCCTTCTATGTCAGAATCATTTATTTTATGATGGCTGAATATTTGTAAACTGGGGGATGTGTTTTGGTTGCTGTTGTTAATGATTGCATTTGTTTTCTTTTATCCATTGTGCAATGATGAGCACGAATTGCAAACAATTTGGTTCCATGACCTGATGACAATTTGCTCTGTTGTCTGTAGGCATATGAGAGTTTAAGTGATGGCTTTGGTCGGACGATATCTGCTTTAGTTGGGACTCCTCTAAAAGATTTTCAGCATGGTGCTGGCACAGGATCAGCTCTCGCAACTGCTGTTCATGCAGTTCCTGCTGCTGCTATATATCCTTTGTCTTATTCTGCTCGTGCTGTCTACTCTACATTACTTGGATTGAGAAATAGGTAAACCTTTTTGCTTAAATTGCATATGATGGAATCTTTTACAATCTAATTTAGCCACCCTACAGAATGGCCTATACCTTAATGAATCCATAGTCATTTTTTCAATTGGGACCAGTACATATTAATGGACTCCAAATGCTACCACAGGTAGTGTACCATCATCAAATATACTTGCTAAAATGCATGAGCAGTGTTGGTGTGGGTGAATTGGGTTGTCCAATATGAATAGTTCTTAAATATTATTTATCTAAATCAATCATGAGGACCAATAACTAGTATCTCTAGTCATTGAATTTTGATGTTCAATTAGGTCACATGATAAGACTAATTCAATAAAATGTTCAAGGGAAAAAAATCATATATCAACTTCCAAAAATGTGCTCTTATGATCTTTCATTCTCAGTATCATGTATAGAAATTCTACCAATAACTCAATTGCTTGGTGGAAGAATCATAATGAACTGGATTTTATTGAGGAAACTAAGAGAGACTTTGATTGATTAGTTGAACACTTGAAGCTTGTAAATTTTCAAATTTAGAGTTTTATCATTATCAACAATATTCCTAAATAATCTAAAAATTGTGGAAATAGAAGGTGGACAATGTTGCACTCACACGTCATCTCTTACATGGTAAATCATATATTCATATATTAGAAGCAAGCATGATGCTATAACACATGCATAAAGATTTTGTGATGTTAGTAATATCAATACCATGCTGGAATTTGACGATACTTTCTGCTGAATGTATTTGTCATTATTTTATTGGTATACTTATGCTTCCAGAATGCTGTGGCTGAGAATTACATTGCCAAAGTTTACATATGACTGAATGCAACAGAGACAATTATACTTGCTTCCTAAATAACAATCAAGAACTCGGGGCTCTAATCTTCTTTTTATTTTATTTTTTTTCATTAAGTAAGAAGAATTAGGCATTATGCTTTTCCAGTGAGAGACCCCAACTAGACTAAATTTTGGACTCTACTCCTTTTTGTAGTCTAGGACTCAGTAATCATTTGATCACTTAGAAGTTTGGAAGTACTTGTTAACCATGCTTTTGTTTTTGCAGCATGGATCCTGATCACAAAAGGCAATCGATGGAGAAATATAGAGGGCCCTCCCCAATCACGAGATCGCCAAATTAATTCTCTTGGCAGCTATTTATATTGGCATCTGTGTATGTAATGTATTGTACATGATAAGCTCTGTTCAGTGTATTACGTAAAATATATGCGCCACCCGTTGTCAAGAAAATTGTGAATAGTAATTTATTTTTTTTGTATAAATTTTGTGGATTGCATGTCTACCACTGTGAGAGGAAACTACTGCTAGCTTGGACTTGCCATTGTTAATGATTGTAAATGTGATTATTCGTATCCTTGGCTTGCCAAAAGGTCATTCTTTTTTTTTCTTAGTAAATTTGTCTTTATAAGGAACAATAACAAAAACTTGAGCTTATTAAATAAATTATGGGTATGAACTCTTTCATTTCTTAATTATATTGGACTATTTTCCTAGTTTTCTTTCAGTTAAAATGTAATGACAAGTCCCCTAACTTTATATATCATGGCATGGGAGCTCCAAGAATAATGTCCCGAGCAAGACAACAAGAACAGTGGTCGACGATGCTGAAGCTTCGAGTAAACCAACCAAAGAAATGACAAATAGGAAGAAACACTGAACTTTTCATTCTGATTCCTCGTCAACTCACTAACATCTAATCTGCATAATGTGATACGAATGAGGATGTGGTGGGTTTTTGTATACTCACATTATTCATTTTAAATCTACCTAACCTACTCAAGTCAGATTAGGATATCTATTAATCATGTACAAAACATATATGAATAGATTAATAGCTATACTAGTAGAGTTTGGGATGAATTCGTAATGAAATTTATGACGACTCACGTCACTGCAATACTTAGCTAAGAATCACTGTCTTGGCATCGTTCTTAGGATATATCTAAGCATTTAGAAGCAAGGAAAGAGTGCAATCATCGTTTAGAAATCAAAGCGCATTATATCTTTGTCAGTTGTTAACTTATTTTTGTCCGATAATCTTATTTTAATTGACTTTTGGTCAATTTAAACTATTTAACAGAATGTGATATTTTAATTTAAGACACATAAAATGATGGAATAATAATGACGTCTAGTAAAATGAGTTGAAAGACATGAAATAATTCTCCATGTTTTAAGTCTTTATGTTTTTATATAACATTTTAGATATTAAGGATCCAAAATGTTGATCATATATTGTTTTTAGAAAGAGTATAACAGACTATATTTTTTACCAAAGCATATCTTTTAACCAATGAAATAATTGACGAATCTATAGGAGCTACACCAAGAAAAATATATATCTAAATATTTGACTATAAGTAGTTCTTATTTAAGAACGGACTAATTATATATTACTCCCTATAATTAGCTATCTTTAGAATTTCAATCCTTATACTTTCAAAAATTACATTGGGATTCCTATATCCATGAAAATTAAATATTTAATTCTATTTCTCCTTATATTTATAACTTTGCTAACGAAATCATACTCTATGGTAACTCGAAGTGAGGTAAAGTCAGTATGAACTCAGTGATAAACCTTACAATATTTTCCTCAGCATAGCAGATGGCTTAAGAAAAAATGAAATTAAATGTTTCACTTTCATAAATAAAAAGATCCCACTATAACTTTTAAAAGCATAAGGACTGTAATACTAAAGATAACTAATTATATGGGATAATATGTAATTAACCCTTTAAGAACAACAAAAACTTGTATTCAAGGATTCTATACATGTCAAGACATACTATCAACTTTTAGATTTTAATTTTTCATCATTTGATGTTTTAAACTAACATATATATATATATATATATATATATATATATATATATATATATATA